TTGTTGTTGTTGTGTGTAACAGCTAAAAATGATGAAGCAGGTGCTGAATGTGACACCTTGCTGATTTAATTAAGGCAGCAGTACAAAAGAATGCCACATCATTAAAACACGTCAGCAACAAAGGAGCGAAGTCAGTCCATTGTGAACAGAAGTATATTTGTGTTCACTATGCATTAATCAGTGCAGTGCTGATAGGAATCTAGACTTCTCTTTCAACACTCAGACACAGCTGATGATTACCTTGGGCACCTTTGCTTTTGTAAAAAGAAGGGCTACAAAGCAAGAGGATCAACGTCAAAATAATTTTGCTTCCTCTTGTCCATATTTTTTCAATGTTTTTTACACAACCACCTTGGAATGGTTGATCAAAACTCTGATCCCCTTTCTCTTCAACTTTTCATCTTGCTCACTGTGATACTGAGTCACTTCTGCTTAAATTATATTTTCCTCAGATATCAGGAGAAGGAAAATTAGAGGTACTTGGCTCTAGCCAGTACAAGCTGCAGGAGTTTTGCCTACACAAGTACGCAGTCACTTTAGATAAATTCCCGTGAAGCGCTTTGAGGTATCCTACCAACACGAAAGGTGCTGTACCAATTACATTTATACATGCCCAGGAGGACATCTCAACTACAAGGATACTTGTTATAATTGTGAATTAGAGATTCGAGAAAAAGATACACAAGAAAGTCCCTCCAGGGAAATAGTGCACAGTCTATTTGAGACACAGAGAAATGTCTATGGTTGGGTGGCAAACATGTGTGGAACTCCCAGTCTGGTTTGGATACTCTACGGTGATGGGATTCCAAATAGTTAATCAAAAATAATGAGAAAATGTTTCTATACAATAAAAATACAAAAATAGGAGGAGCAATTAGTTACTTACACATTTAGAGATTCAATCAATATAGATTCTAATTTTATTCCTGAAAATCCTTTGTTAACTTCTCGATTATGCTACTTATCTCCTTAGCATCAGCATCCAAGGCTGCACTCTCCACCTCTCAAAGTCAGTCAGGAACCTCGGTGTTCTGTTCAACCCTGAGCTGTCCTTTCTTCCCCAAATCCGCGCCACAACTGGCACCGCCTTCCATCACCTCCGGAACATCGCCAGACTATGGCACTACCTCACCCCTCACGCTGCTGAAACACTTTATCACCTCAAGGCTGGACTATGGGAACTCTCTCCTCGCCGGCCTTCCCGGCACCTCCCTCCACAAGCTGCAGGTCATTCAGAACTCTGCAGCTCTTGTACTGTCCCGCACCAGGCTTCGGGACCACATCACTCCCACCCTCGCTCGCCTCCACTGGCTCCCCATTCCCCAGAGGATCGAATTCAAGATCCTTATCGTCGCCTACAAGGCCATTCACGGCCTTGCTCCCTCCTACCTCTCCGACCTGCTATCCCCCTACCTACCTGCCAGTACCCTCCGTTCCTCTGGCTCCGGTCTGCTCCACATCCCCCGCCCCAACCGCCCTACCATCAGTGGCCGGGCCTTCAGCCTCTCAGCCCCCAGGCTCTGGAACTCTATCCCCCAGTGCCTTCACTACTTCCTCCCTTTCCTCCTTCAAGGCCGGTCTCAAGACCTTTCTCTTTGACCGTGCCTTCAGCTCCCCTCTCAACTCTTTACCCCCTCCTCGCCCCCTCCCTTCCCTCCCCTCACTCTCACCATTTCCCCCCTGCTCGGGTCCTGACCCAACTGTCAAGCGCTTGGGACGTCCTCCCGACGTGAAAGGCGCTCTATAAATGGAATCTTGTTGTTGTTGTATTTAATCCACCCACCACCCCTCAAAATAAAAACACAATTGTTGTGAGTTTCTTTATTTCCTGAATTCTTTGCAACATCTGATGCAGTCACAGCAGGGGTGCAGACCTGAAGAATGTATTTTGAAATCTTTAATTGACAACTGGGAGGTCCAGAACAAAAATTAATATTAAAAAAAATGTTTTCACAGAGAGACAGGTAAGAGTGTGGAAATCTCTGCCATAGTTGTTGGGAGGACAGCCATGTGCACATTCAAAACAAGACTCCATACGTGGATAAGAGAGAATAAAGTTGAGAGATATGGGGAAAAAGCTGGGATATGGGTCCTGGGATAGGATCTAGAAAAACTTTGAGATGTCTCGAAGCCATGATAAGGCGCTATATCAAATGCAATGATTATTATTATTATTAAGAAAGGCAATTGTATAAACACCAGCCAGACTGTCTAAACATGCTTCATTTTTGGTCAGTCGGGTTTCTAACGCATGAGGAAACACATCACTATGCCAATAAAGAATATCCAAACCAGGCTGAGAGCTCCACATATGCATGCCACCTGAAGGTGGAAATTTTCGCAGTTTGAACTGGAATGCACACTCTTTCCTTGAAACAAACACTTCCTGCTTACCTGATTCCCATGAGCACTGTCTGTCAAGCTTCCTACTGCCTGTCCATCAAGGACCACTCTACCCAGAACGGCTTTGGCTGGCAGGGTTAACAGAAGCTGAGTGGAAAGAATCTATTAAAACAAAGAATTGTCTATCCCTCCAAATCCGTCCGGTAAGCCAAACTGGTTGTTCTAACATCAACAGTGCCCGAGAGTATTGTGGCCCTGCCTGGCTCATCAACAGAATTACAAAACCACAACAGAGATTGATTTGATTCCAATATTCTGTTAATTTCCACAAGGGTTTTTAGAAGTCGACAGATTTGAAAAAGTAAGAAGTGCATTGGTTACTGAGTCACTGTGAGCATAACAATTCTTCGAGGTCTCAAATGATTTTTGCAACCTTCTGTAATACTTCGGTGTGACACTTAACTGCATTGGTGCAAACTGCTGCCGAACAATAATTTATTCATTTCTATGTATTGAGATGCCATCATCCTGCACTGTCTGTATCACTGATTTGTGACCTACATTACTTTCGTAGCTTCCCAAGGTCACTGCATTCTGTTCTGCTGAAGGTTGCGGCATACCAATGAAAGATGCTCACTCACAACAACCAAATGAGGACATTTTGAAAAAAGTATGATTTATTTTGATGTATTTCACTGCAGTCCGGATTCAGTGCTTCACACTGTTTTGGAGGCGATACCGAGGAGTTTGTTTATAGGCAACATCTCTCAGTTTGGTTGCTTTATTTTCTGAAAACCCTTCGTAAAGCAATGATCTCATGGGGCTCACTTTATACCACACTGCTGCCATAGTCAATGGTTATTTATGGATTTGAGGATCACAATTTAATCATTAAAGCTGCTTCTGTCAGATGTGATCCATGACCCCTATTTATCCAAGAATGCGGCTTTGTTAGATGGTCCTTCGTGGATTCGTTAATAGCTCATACAAGCTTTGCCTCTCAAAGACTATCATTACTGTGCTATATTTTCTGTATGATGAGCAAGTGTCTGTGCAACATGAAGTGTTACCTTGTTTAAATGCTCAGCATTTAAGCATTGATTCATGACTGAGATCAATAACGAGAAACCATCGTGAATAGAACCAGGATTGTTAAAGAGCTTCCTACCAGAAGCTCAAAATTCAAACTAGTCTCAGTTTGCAATTTGTTTTTACCTTAAAACATAAAATCGCACAGATTTACGGAAAATTCCTAATTATTCTGCACATCATGGCCATTTTTGGTCAACAGGGAAGTGGTAAATTAGGAACTATAATAATAATAATACTTGCATTTCACATAGCCCCTTATCACATCGTTGAAACATCTCAAAGCGCTTCACCGGATATAATGTAAAGTGAATTGACTGTATATTTTGTAGGCAAAATGTGGTAGTCAATTATGTTCAGCAGTGACCCTCAAACAGAGGTAGATTGAGTGACCAAATTATTATTATTTTTGGGGGGAGGGATTATTACCCACGGAAAGCGATTCGCCAATTGACTAACAACTGGGTTCCTTCTAACTGCTAGGTAAACTACTAGGTAAACAGAGGTATGCGGAGTAAGGAAACTTGCCTAAGGTTTTGCCCCACCTGGAAATCAAACCCATGTCTTCTCTCTTGCAAAACAAGCGCTCTAACCAATACGCTATAGGACTCCCCTTTTATATTCATTATAATTATTCACAAGTAGGCAGCAGTTTCATGGGCTGTTTTTGTTATAAAACTGCTGTGTGGGATACACTGCACCAAGTACAGAAACAATAGGTCTCAGTTTATTTTTCTGTCTCAATAGTTTTTCTTTTTTAAAACAAAAGTAAAATGAGATGCTTGAACATAATGAAATAATGACTAAAGGGTAAGAGCTGCGATGTTGCCTAACAGATTCGATTATCACATTGAAATCTGTTATGAAATCCACAGGGGGTGGTTGGTGAGGGGGTGGGGGATGATAATGAGGTATATAATGTAAAAGTTATCATCAGTGATAATTATCACATCACAGATGGCACTTTTTTTCCCCTCCCCAGTCACAATTTTCACCTCCACGTCTGAGAAAAAGAATGACTTTTTTTTTTGCCCATTCAAGTCTTTTGCTATTTTCTATCCTTCCACTTATTCACTGCTCCTATTCCACATGTTAATAAAGCAACCAGTAAGTCTGCGCCCAGACCTATGCTAATACTGCCCTACATTTTCCCCACATCTTTGTCTGCGATACTGTTGAAAATCAAGCATTTGCATTGCCAGGAAAGCACATTACATCCTTACTTAGCAGAGCGCTTTGGAGCTCTATTTTCAGATGTTATTAGAAGCATAATGGCTTAAAAAATATATATATATACACAAAAGTCGTGATACCATTTATTTAAATAATAATTGCTTTAATTCTTCAAGGACAGTGAGTGTTCAGTGCTTAAAAAATCATTACTTCATTTCTTCATGACTAAATCAATTTAAATTTTTTCCGTATTAATATCTAAAAAAATCATAATTTCTTTAAGACTTTTGAAGGCATTGTTATAGTATCATGACTCTTTGGTCACGCTGTATATATGTCCTTTCAACGTTTAAATATGTCCGAGTGCAAATGCTGTACACTCAAGAGTTACTTACGTAAGCACTTTGGCAGAGATCGATCCCACAGCCCATTTGCTTGACAGGTGAGCACGGCTGAGCCGAGCAGGTAGAAGCTCCATTTACACTGATACACCACACTGCTTCCGAACTTGATGCTTTGCAAGTAACTCTGCTCACCTTCCCGAAAAGCATTTTCCACAAATCCAGGATCTGAACAATTCACAACTGCAATGAAATAGAACAGAAAGTTTCACAAAGCCATCCCAAACACAAGCATTACAAGAGCTACAAATTGGCATCATTCAGAATCACTTTACAACAACAATAACGAATTACATTTGAGATATAGTGTAGATTTGGGGTAAGGTTTGCAATGCTTTAAGCCTAGCGCTGTGTTACTTTATAACGACAAAAGAAGCCTCCAATCCCAGAAGTTCCTATCACAGACCTACATCACAGATGTCTTTCATTTTCTGTTGAAGCAAAGTAAGTATGATTCTAGTCAATAGAGCTGATGCCATGCTTCTAACCTACTTTATTTCTACTGAATATTTTTTCCAGGTTTGACCTGCTGAGGAGTAGAGAAATCTATATTCTTTCTGGCTTTGCAATTTTTTTTGCCAATTGGGCAGCTGAGGCCTGAAGCCTGGGGTTCAATTGGTAAATAAACAATTCCTGGGCCAGAGAGACAGCAGATGTTTCCACTCCTCAGCAGATTAAGCCTGAGAACAAATATTCTGCAGAGGAAAAAAAAGGTTAGAAACTTCTCAAGGGGCTACAATTTATGATTCTGTTATGGCTCTATGCGGCAGCATATTGAGGAATGAAATGATATAACGTATCCCGTTTTTTTCTGGAGTCATATTTAAGACTTAAGATCTGTCACTGTTTTAAAAGATGCTCCTTCGGAGTGTTTTTATTTTTTTGCATTTTATACTTTCTAACACATTTGCAAATCAATGAAATAAATCAGGAATATGAAAGGAAATCCACCAGCTCAGCCATTCTTAAATAGAACAGCGAGTGACTGACATGAAGTGATGTTCTGTTTGGTGTCACTGTTTGATCCGAGACATTACAACACATCGAACGTACTCCATTGTCTACGCTGATGTATTTTACATTAATGTGAATAACAATTTTGCAGTCGTAGGCGTAGAGCTGTTCGCAAACTATTCAATTCAAAGAATTACTCTCCTAATCCCGTCCTTGAGTCGAGAGCCTTATCCTCGTGTATTACTAATCAATGCAAAAATATTGCTTAAATCTTACATGTGCTCATCCCTAAATAATACGAGAGGTTTGGATGAACCATTTGATTACATCTCCAGAAAACCTATCTTACTGTTCTCCCATCAAAGCATGTTTTTTAAAATGAGCCTAGGGTCATTCATTCAATTACCATCTTGGTAACCTGTTCCAGTCATTAATTACCTGCTTTTTTGAAAAAAAATCTTTTCTGTGTCTGTCCTGAAATTACTCTTTTTAACTCTAAACCTGTGTCCTCGGTTATTCTACATATTGCTGATGTTCAAAAAGCCATTTAGGAAGAAAGGACACAATACAATACAAAAAGGATGCCCTTAGTCTTCACAATGAACTTCTTTAATTTGTCCATCACAAAGACATTTTATTGTTTTCAACTGATTTAAAATTTGTTTCTAGAACTGGATAGTAATTCTAATAAATCATATAAATATTATAAAATATTTAATTTCAAATCACATTTCAGGCAATAATCCCGCAAAAAAATGTGGTCACTCAATCCAAGACTGTTTGTGGGGCACTGTTATGCGCAATTGGCTGCCCCGTTTCGCCCATAAAATACACAGTGAATCCACTGTACAATATTTTTTGTGATGCGCTTTGAGACGTCTCTATAAGGCGCTATATCAAATGAAGGATTATTATTGTTGTTCCACCTCCTAAAACACTAGAGGGAAGGATAGTATATTATAACCGAAAGACAATAGTCCATGACTATTTTGCTTACCTCGACAGGTTGGCAAATGGCTGCTCCACTGACCATTCACCCGGCACTGTGCTCTCAATGCTCCTTGCAGTAAATATCCCTTGTTACAGGTGAAGTTTACAACATCATTTAGATTAAACTGACTGCCATTGGTTCTGCCATAAGTGGGGTTTCCTGGGTGGCCACATGTGATTGCTGAAAGACAAGGATTTGAGATGTACTGAATTATCATTTATGTTTGCTTTTTATATAGCGCCTATAAACATCACAATGTGTCACATAGGTAATTGCCGTGAAGCATATTTATAGTGTTTATTCCCATTTGCCTCCTGTTAGAGCTGCAAGCCAAAGCCAAAGGATATGATGGTCCTAGCTGGACAAGCAGCAGGAAGTTGCCAACAACAACAAATTGCCTTTATATAGTACTTTTCACATTGGGAGGATATCCTGAGGCCCTGGACATTCAAGTGTTTGCACCTGAGTTGGGGGTTGGATTCGAGAGGGGTGGAAGGCAGGTGGGAAGCTGACCAAAGGCGCAGTCAAAGAGGTGGTTCTTGAGATGGACTTGAAGAAGAAGAAGGAAAGGCTGAGGCAAAGGGACTCTAGGATGTAGTTCCAGAGAGTGGGGCCAGATAGACCGAAGGCCCAATGGTTGATGGTGAGGCAGCCAGGACAGGGGATGTGAAGCAGGCCAATGTCTGCTAATCGGAGGGAGTAGTAGGGTTTCCGAAAGTTGCAGAGGTAGGGTGGGGCTAGACAGTGGAAGGCTTTTAAATTGAGATCAAGGATCTTAAACTCGAACCTCCAGGGGATGGGGAGCCAAGCGAGGATGTGGGTAATAGGCTCGCGGAGCCTGGTGTGTGAGTGGACACAACTTATAGAGGTCTGAATGGTCTGCAACTTTGTGGCTTAAGAAGGGAATAGTTGGGAAGGCTGGTGAGTGTTTGCAGACAGTTATCTCAATGGTAAGCAATGTGTTTTTAGCTGGTTGAATTCTAAATGTACCTCCAGCTAGAGAGTACATATTCCATTCGAAACACAGGCAAATTTACATGTGTTGGTGGCATACATGTGTGCAACTCTCAGTCTGATCTTAGTCACAATGCCCCTAATCTCTGGAATTCCTTGCCTCAATTCTTCCATCTTGCCCCCTCTTTCCCACCTACAAATCACATCTGAAGACTTTCCTCTATGACTGTGCCTTCCCTCCCTTTCCGGCTCTGCCTCAAGGCACACCACTGTTAAACGCTCCGAGATGCTACCCACGTGAAGAGTGCTATATAATTGAAAGTTGTTTTTGCTATGCACGGTGATGCTTTTCTACATCCATTGGACATCCAGGTGACCATATGCAGAATGGGCAGACCCTGGGAAAGCAATATCAGCTGAATAGCAACCAAATTAGATAAGGAATAGAACCAGATGTAATTCAGGATATAACTTATAACTATTATTGTTCAGCCCTAATTAATAGGTACGAAATGAGCTTGTAGAATTCGTACACATGAAAATGTATTCTCCGTTGGTGTTTTTTTGGCCAGTTTAGGTGATCTGGTTCCCCATTATGTTTGATATTATTTATTTAATATTATTAAAGATAATCTGCACTCACCGATTGTATTAAAATAAGTTTTTTTTCCTTTGCTTTTTTTAATTCAATGCAGAAAGGGCTGCATTGCCATCAGAGAATAGATTAAAATTGACATGCTGCCCACTGTTTCTGTGCATCCAATTTATTGTGCTTAACAGACTGGGAACAATCCCATGGATCATCAAGCCAGGACAATCACAGGATACTATGAAGGAAACCATCATTAGCTGTCAACCTGCCCCTTGGGCAATCCCGGCTGATCAGACCATTCTGGACATGTACGTTTTAAGAGGTCCATTAAATACATCCACCGTTTTCACCTTGGAGATTTCAGAAGTCAAACAGTGACCGAAGCATGTCTAGACTGATAATCCAATACAGTCCTCGGAAACTCTGCATTGGCAGAGGTGTGGTCCTTCAGATGGGAGGTTAAATGAAGGTCGCATCTGGCTGTTCAGGTGGACATTAAATATCCTGTGGGTTGCTCAAAAAATAGAGAAGGGAGTTTTTCAATGTGTCCTGGCCAACAATTCCCCAGATAAAATTGGAAATTGGTCATTCACTTCATGGCTGTTTATGGTACATTGGTTTGGACAAATTGGCCATTGCATCAATGTACAACAATGAACAATACTGGAAACATTAAAGGTACCATAATAACCCAATCTCACTGTGTAGAATGTACAATGCTATACAATACTATCTACCATAAGACCGTGTATTACTATTTGGCTTAATGTTATGATACCACAAATTTGAGGAGAAATGTTAAATTCAGTGTTGATTTGGAATCCAGTTCTTCTTAAGAACTACATAAAATCTTATGTGAAGGGTGCTATATAAATCCAGTTATTGCTGGATCAGTTAACGTATTGGATTTTCCAGTAATTCTTTCTAATGATAGAAACAGATTTACAGGTTTATACCTTGTTTCAGTATTCCTTCCTTTCTGATCAGTGAGGCACGGACACATAACAAATCAGCGATCAGCACAGCAGTAAAATACTTACGAACACAGACTGGTGGTTGTCCTGACCACTTGTGATCCTGTTGACAAATTCTTACAGAGGAACCAACAAGCCGGAAACCAGGATTGCACTGATAGACAATGGTGTCCCGATAGCTGAAACCATCTCCACTGATGTGCCCATTTACGATTGGATCCGGAGAGCCACAGTGACCAGCTGAAGGGCAGAAATGGCACAGAAATAGAAAACTTACAAGACAATAGGAGTTTACATCCAAAAAGTGTCTTTCAGAACAAGAGATTGTCACAAGTGCTTGACAATACCGACTGGGCACCCAAGCTGGGAGTGGGAGCTGAGAGGGTCACGGAGGGGAGAAATGATCAAAAGCAGTACATCTTGAGATAGACTTTAAACAAGGGGAGGAAGAGAACAAGTTGGAGGTATTCTGGGACGGAGTACCAGAGAGCAAGAACAGAAACCAAGGTCCTGTCTGTCTCTTCAGGTGGATATTATAGATTCCATAGTACTATTTGAAAAGTGGAGTTTCTCCTGAGTTCTGGCCAACAATCCCCCCCACCCCCACAAAAAAATTAATCATTCATTTTGTGGATATTTATTATACATTGCTGTGCGCAAACTGGCTGCTACATTCGTCTAAAAATAAAGTCACTACACTCTACAGTAAAAATACTGTGAACTGCTTTAAGACATTCCAACAAAGTGATAAGACTCTACATCAAATGTAAAGATTATTATAGTTAGAAATAAATTACAGTAAATCCCTGTAATTCCCAATTTTTCAAGAAAAGGGACTTAATGTCACAGCTTGTTACAAAACATGAAGATAAATTAAAAAATCTCTGAGCAATGCCAACCTGTGAGGATCTTTATCATAAGGCAAACATAACATAACATAAAATGGTAAAGCCTTTCAACTATTTATCAATGCTATGTAAGAATAGTTTATAACCTTGGGAGAAATAGCAAAATTTTACTCGCATTTATCTTGTGGAAAGGATCGGTTGCAGTTAATCACAATTGTGCGGTGCAAGTAGACAATGTGTTATTAACCTGACTTAAAACACTTCAGTAACAATAGCGCAAAATATTTGAGGCAGAAAGTTTGTGCCGTGAAGTTGCTAAGCAATGGGAAACATTGGAAAGTATCTTCTATGAAGAGCTTTAAGATGCCTCGAAGACATGATAATGCGCTAGATCAAACCCAAGGATTATTATTATTATTAAAATCTTTCCTTACCTTGCAAATTCTTATGTTCTTATTAATATCTCAGGATAAGATATATAGTTTGGGACACAGCATGCCAGGATGGTGGAAGGCGAACTAAATGGACCTTGATCTTCTTTCGCCTAGCAAATTCTTATGTTCTTTTGTTCTTCTTAAAACATTTCCATCTGTTTGCAATGGTGACTAGCTTTTTCTGAGCGCTACAAACAGCAATATGTTTTCCTAGCCTTCCAGTAATGTTGTGCAATAATCCTCAGTTAAAGTGTCTGAAGATATGGCTCAAAACTGCTGTCTTGATAACTGAGTCAATTAGTTACGGACAATTAACTGATGCTTTTTTTTGTCTGATTTAGTTTAATAACTATATCAATATGTTGAGAAGTTTAAAAGCAGTACAACACATCTCATCTGATGTTAATTGTTTCTGGTACATACCAAGGCATCTGGTTTCCGATCCACTCCACAGCCCATTTGCTTGGCATTCTCGGAAGTGAGATCCCGCCAGTGTGTACCCGGTATTGCAGGTAAAGATTGCCGTCGCCCCATATGTGATCAGTGTGCCGATCTTGTTGCCGTTTGGTGGGGAAGGAAGCTCTCCACACACGATAACTTTGCAAAGAAAACAGAATATTGATTAATATTCGAATGTGCTTAACACCATTCCACTTTGATCAGTTTGGCCCGATAACCACATATAAAAGTATTGTTATTAGAAAATCTGCCAAGTTACAATAACCTGGTGGAACAGGCTTGACGGAATAGGATGAATAGTCTCCTCCTGTTCCTATTCTCCAATACACAACCGATTATTCAGGGATTTGCGTAATTCCTGCTTACGGGTTGTGATTAATGCCAAATGGTTATGGATTTTAACGCCTTAAAAACCTTTTAGTGTTATAAATTAGCAATAACAGCTGTGTGAAAGCTTAATTAAGGCCACACTTCAATTCACACGATGAAGAAAATAACAGTGACTTTGAGAGGATTACTACGATAAACAGCGATTGACGGCTGACCAGTGATAACTAGCTCGGGTTCTGATTTACATATAGTACTCAAAATTATAGCATTCAACCGTGCCAAATAAATAGATTAAAGATCTTGTGTTTACTTTCGCATCTTTCTTTTTCATCTTCCCCGCTCCACACGCCATCCACCTCACACTCTATCACCTTGCGCCCCTTCAAATGGTAACCAGGATTGCAGTTCAGCATCACTTGAGCTCCGTATTCGTTTGTTGACCCATGAACCAGTCGCCTGACCACATTTTCCGAGAGGAAGGTCTCAAGGGTGGGGCAGGTCACAGCTACATGGAAAGAAAGACAGAAAGAAAATACTCAGGTGGCCTTATGTTGAACAGATCTGACACAAGATGCATTTTTATATTTGAACTGAAGGTACCCATTAAATTACACTCTTTCATGTTTGAATTCATTTTGTACTGAGAAGCTGAAGTTCAGGCAGCAATCAGCCAGCATTTGCATTTGAACAAGCTGTGTTAGAACATTCAAGTTTTGATAACCCTCAAAGCGTCTTCACAAGATATACTGTAACATGTAGTGACTGTGTCCCACAAACAGCCATGAAGTGAATGACCAAATATATTGGCCGAAATCTTCTATAATTCTGAGTCTGAATTTCAATACTTAAAGTGATGAGTTTTTTCATTACAAGCAACAGTCAAAAGACATCTGGGCATTTCAGAATGATCTGGGTTACAAGTGCTTTGAAACATGAAAAAACAAACCAGTCAGACAACACAAAAGGGTTTATTATCTTATATAGCCTTATTCATGTTTCTTACATAGGTGAAATGCTCCATTAATTTAGCATTAATTAAAATGCTCCATTGTTGACAGGTCATGAGTCAATGTGTTTATTCTTTAGTTATTCAACATATACAGTCACTACACTTTGCAGTAAAATCCTTTGAAGCGCTTTGAGAAGTCTTGACGACATGAAAGATATGAAAGTAAGAATTATTAATATTATAACTTTTAAAATTGAGTTGAGCTTGTATTCCATAAATTGGCACTAAACTCCAGATCAATTCGCAGATCAATTGATGCCTCAACAGCTTTGTGCCCAACCATTGTGTTAGTCAGGGGATTGAAATCAGGAAACTTATTTTTGGGTCAACTGGGTGTCTGGCTCACCTGAAAACCTATCAATATTCTTTGGGGTATCCAAACTAGATTGAAAGTTCAAATATGTATGCCACCTACACATGGACATTAACCTGTATCTGCAATGGAATTCATACTCTCTCACGGGAGGAATGGACTCTACTTACCTAATTATTTTGCCTGCTAAAACTTCATAAAATTGCCATTATAAACAATGTCAAAAGAACCAGTGGGAGATGAGGAGACATATTTTCACATGCCGAGTTGTTCGGATCTGGAATGCACTGCCTGAAAGGGTGGTGGAAGTAGATTCAATAACAACTTTCAAGAGAGAAGTGGATAGATATTTGGGGAGAACAAACTTGCAAGGCTACAGGGAGAGAGTGGGGTAGCGGGATTCATTTGGATAGCTCTTTCAAAGAGCCGGCACGGGCACAATGGGCCGAATAATCTCCTTCTGTACTGTGTAATCTATGATTGTCTGGCAAGCTACCTATTGCTTAACCAGCTTACCAAGAAGGGCTTTGGCTTGTAGAGTTAACAGCATCAGCAGAGTAAGAAGAATCCCAGCCCCAATTCTGTCCTTCCAAATCCTGCAGATGAGCCAACGTCCTGGAGTAATGGAACCGGACTACCAAGACCAATGATTGACTCAAATTCATATAGGGCACAAGCGTCACCTCAAAGCCAGCTCAGCTAAAAAAAAAAAATCTACCTAGAATTAGGTTTCAAGATATCTTGCCTGAATTGTGTGAGATTGAGCAGAATTGTGGAAAATTTTTAAATTCGGCCTTGATATAGTGCCTTTCATGTCAGGAGTATGTCTCAAAGTGCATTTTGTAGGCAAACAAGGCAGGAAATTTATGCACAGCGACATCCCACAGACACAAATGAAGTACATGCTCAATTTTATCTGGGGAATTGATTGCCAGAGAGAAAATCCCATGTCTTTCCAAATAGTGCCACTGGATCTTTAACGTCCATCTGAAGGGCAGAGAGGACCTTGGTTTTATGACTCATTCAAAGGACAACACCTTAAGACCGGATTTCAGGATTTTCAGAATTATTATATTTTAAGACACAATGGTCTTGTGGGTAAGACTGGATTGAATTTCAAGCTTTTGGTGTTTAGTATATTACATGTCTCAGCTGCTTTCAGCTGCTACACCCCAAACCTCTGGAAATTCCTGCCTCAATCGCTCTGCATTGTCCTCTCCTTTGACCATGCTTACAGTTCACATTCCCTTTGCTTGGCGTCAAAGTAGGTTATCTGAGATGCAAACTTGCCTGAGGGGGCGCTAAATAAATGCAAGTTATTATTGTTTTAAACAAGGATACACACAACTGCACCAAACGTACATATCACAGTTACATGTTGGCAAGTAGGACAAACCCATCAAAACAAAGGGTTGTAAAGCATTGTTTAATTTCATAGTGAGCTTCCATGACAATCAAATTATGAAAGATTTTGACAGGGTAAATAGGGAGAAGTGATTTCCACTAGTAGGGGAGTCAGTGACTAGGGGAAGATAGATATAAAACAGTCACAAAAAGAGTAAAAAGAGAGCTTAAGATAATTTTTTTTCAGTTGAGATGTGGACTGCCCTGCCGAATACTACAACAACAACTTGATTTATATAGCACCTCCACGCCCGTCGGCGTCTCAGAGCGCTTCACAGTAACGGATCCCGGGGCTGAGCCAGTGAGGGGGGGGGGGAAGGTGACCAAAGGCGCGGTCGAAAAGAAAGGTCTTCAGCCGAGACCTGAAAGTGGGAAGAGAGGGGGCAAGGTGAAGGGAATGAGGAAGGGAGTTCCAGAGCCTCGGGGCATAGTGGCTGAAGGCACGACTGCCGATGGGGGAGCAGAGGACTCGGGGGACAAGGAGGAGGCCAGTCCCAGTGGAGCGAAGGCAACAGGCACTTTTGTGAGGAGAGAGGAAGTCAGAGAGATTAGGGGGGTGCAGAGGAGTGGAGGGATTTGAAGACAAGGGTGAGATCCTTGAAGTTGATCCTCTCTGGGCCAGGCAGCCAGTGCAGTCTGGCAAGGACTGGGGTAATCGGGGAGCAGAGTTTGGTGCGGGTAAGGATACAGGGTGGCAGAGTTTTGTATGACCTGGAGAGGATCGGCAAGGAGGGCATTTTAATAGTCCAGCCGAGAGGTGACAAAGGCATGAACCAGGGCTTCAGCGGCTTTTGGCGTAGGTAAGTAAGGCAAGAAAGGCACAATTGATTCTGGATTTCAAGAGGGAACTGGAAGTGTATATGAAAGTTAGAGGCTTGACGAGATATGGGGATAGAGCAGGGTAGTGGGATTGAAAGAACAGCTTGCTCTAAGAGCTGGTGCAGACCTGATCAGCTGAATGCCCTCCTCCTGCATTGTAAATGACCGTGATTCTATAATTCTATCTCCTCCAGCCACAAACAGATTTGAAAGAAAGCTGTTCCACTAAATGCACAGAGGTCAGAAAAGTTAGTGCCTTAATGAATAAATCTGTCAGCTCTTGTCTTCTGAATTATGGATCAGACAGTCGTCACTTAACAGCAATAAATCATGTCAGAGATGATTGGAAGTTAATGCAAATTCAGTAATGTACAGCAGAAACCCGCCTACATTGATTTCATTTCTATCCGGCAGCTTTTGTGTATCGTATTGTGTGACTGTATTCTCTGCAATTTAAGCTAATCTGAAGTACAAAAGTATGATTAAATGTCATTTTATCCAAATGATTCATTCCCTTGCAAAACGTATTAGCCAAATAAAGAACCCAAACGCGGAATCAATCTTGAGCAGTAACTGGAGGCTGTTAGTAAACATGTACTCCTGGGAGATGAATACTGCTGAGATTTAAAAGCTATTGGTCGTTGTGGTGGAGACTGACTGGTGTCACAAAATAATGTGAATCCATCGAAAAAATATTTAGGTATGTGTCAGGTTAAATATATAGGCTTGACTTATTATTATTATTTTTATGAACTATGTGGTATTTTAATAATATGTTCAATGTGATAGTTATGGCCGAGTGACAATACAATACAATTTATATTTATATAGCGCCTTTCCCTTAAGGAGCACGTCTCAACGTGAATCAAACTGCTGGCTGGGCACCCGAGCTGGGGCTGGTAGCTGAAAGGCGGTAGGGAGGGTAAAGATGACCAAAATATGATAATGATCACACAAAGCGCATTATGAAACACCACACATTACAGCTCATAAGCCACGTTCCCTTCTACTCCACACAAACTTGACCAGATCCCTCTGTCTCTTTCTATCCAGGAATGACTCTCACATACGCTGACCAGGTCCGACTCATGACTCTCACATGCTAACCTCTGACCTTTGACATTGAAAAGCACAAGGTTTATTATTAATAATTGCAACATTTGCAGTTTTGTTTAATTTGAGATCAATGCATGCAGAAATTGTGGATTCATGTACCACATCGGGACTTGAAACTCATGCAGTCTAAGATGACATTCCAACATGCAGTGCTGGAGATGTGCTGCATTGTTGCAGATGCCATCCGTCAGATGAGACATTAAACCAAGGCCCCGTCTTCCTGTTCAATTGGGCATTACAGATCCTATGGCATGGTTCAAAAGGAGAAGGGAGTTCCTCGCCATGACCTAGCCAACAAACATAATTGGTCATTCACTTCATTACTGTTTGTGGCACATTGCTGTGCACAATTTGGCTGACATGTTTACCCACAAAATGCAGTCACTCCATTTTCAAGTGTATCCTGTGAAGCGCTTTGGGGTATTCTCCCTACATGAATACCAATTGTAATGATTATTATCATAATACATCAGAGGAATGGTGATTGTTACAGTAATATCTGGTCCAATTAATTATCTATCCACTGAAATAGCGCCAAAGGATTTTCCTTTCATTTGTTTGACTTTCCCACCTGTTGAAACTCCAGTGTGAGAACTTCCCTTCGCTGCTGTGACCCTTTACCTGTATATGACCTGGGGAATCTACAGAAGTATGTACGTCTTATTGCATCTAGATGTACTTATACTATACAGAAGTCCTTTCCATCTCTTCATTTCCAAGTTATAAGAAAATGGCTAAAGACTGGAAAAATGTCATTATCATTTTAGAGCGCACTTACCTAATGTAAATAATACAATCACTCTTAGCTTTGGAATTAAAACCAGATGATAGCCAAGATTAAGATTTTGAATCACGTGATTGGAAGAATTCATATGAGGTTACAATTGCTAGGCCATTCAATTATCACTTGATAACAGGCTGTGCTAATTTACATTTGTAATGCAATTCCTTCTATTTATTTAGTTCAATGCCCTATATTTGTCCTTGACAGGCCGAATAATAATGTGGATTTCATGCTTGAATTCCAAGTGTGTCAGCCTGGCTCAGCGATAGCACATAGTCTTAAAATGACACTCCCACATCCAGCTGGGGGGAGGGGGCTGCATTGTCAGGTGGAGGTTATAGATCCTACGACATGATTCAACAATAGAAGGGAGTTTCTCCCAGGGTCAAGACCAACAATCCCCAAATAAAATTGGTCAATCATTGCATTGCCCCCACCCTCTGGAACTCCATCCCGCAGTCCCTCCGCTCGCCCCCTCCCTTGCCTCCTTCAATACCAATCAGCTTCAAGGCTCTCCTCATCGACCGTGTTTTCAGTCACCCTTCTTCCCCCACTGCTCTCCACCCTCCCCAATCCTGAACCCCAGCTCGGGTCCTAAACACTGATTGTCTAGCGCCTTGGGACGTCTTCCCAATGTGAAAGGCACCATACGAATGTGATGTTGTTTATTATGGGACATTGCTGTGCACAATTGAGCTGCCACATTCGCCTGCTAAATATGCAGTTACTGTACTTCACAGTAAACCCGTTCTCCCGACGTGCAAGGATTATTAGGACTATATTGGTCATTTACTTCTTGGCCGTTTGTGTGACATTGCTGTGAACAAATTGGCTACCAGATTTGCCTACAAAATACACACCTTACAGTATATCCTGTTAAAACTTTGAGACGTTTAAATGACGATGAAGCAAAGCATCAAATATTAGGATTATTATAATGCATTGAACATAGACAAATAATACAATCCAATGCAGATCACCACTTAATATGCAACTGAGGGACAAACAGGACTATTGTTAAAATAGAAAGCTCACCATAGTAGGGGGAAGGGTTTGGTTTTCAGTGAGTCAACTGAGTTTCAGCGAGTTTGTATTTTGCTTTCATTTGAACATAAACACACAAAGCATTTCATTGATTGCCCTGGAGAGAAGCCAAGTTGTTCTCCATTCACAAAAGAACTTGGGCCAGAAATTCTCTTAAATTATTCAGGACAAAAAAAGGTTCTAAACAAAGAGCAATTTTTACACTCGTGTCACACACCAAATGGATGAACTTACGTATACAGCGTGGGGTCTTGCCGTTGTTACTCCATGTGCCGTCTTGCCTGCACACTGCTCGTGATTGCTGACCTGACTCCAGGTTAAAGCCCTGGTTGCACTGGTAGCTGACTCTGCTATCCACGGTGTAGTCTCTGCCAAACACCGAGCCGTTCCCAGGAGACTCTGGAACACCACAACTTAGTGCTGAAACAAAGAGAGCAATTTGATTTCAGTGTGAACCTGGCAAGTGTCTCTATAATAATAATAATCAGCAGTACATTTGATATAACGCCTTTCACATCAAGAGGACGTCCCAAAGTGCTTCACAGGATAATAATAATAATAATAATCCTTGCATTTGATATAGCGCTTTTCACGTCGGGAGGACGTCCCAAAGCGCTTCACAGAACACACTGTAAAGTAAATTGACTGTATATTTCTGGGCGAACGCGGCAGCCAATTGCGCACAGCAATGTCCCACAAACAGTCGTAGATTGAAAATGACCAATTTATTATTGTTTTTGGTTTTGGAGGGATTATTATTAGGCGTGTGGAGTAAGGAAACTTGCCCAAGGTTTCGCCCTCTGCCTGGAATTGAACTCAGGTCTCTCACTTGCAAAGCGAGTGCTCTAACCACTGAGCTACAGGATACACTATAAAGTGCAGTGACTGTGTTTTTCCCTCTAGCTTTTTTGTTGGACAATGATCCGGCCAATATAATACAGACATAGATAGGTGTTTTCTCTACAGAAAGGGGAGGGGATGTATTCGGCCCATTTTGTTTGTTTTCTTCTATTCTTCTATTTTCTATTAATCCCACATGAAAGATGCTATGCAAATGTAATTTATTGTTATTGTTTACCATTCGCTCCTTCCTTCAATCCTAATTCGTCTGAGCCATGCCTAACTCACCATTTCTGTTGACTCGTCACTGAGCTCTTCTCCCTTGGAGCGATGAGTTACCCAGAGTTTACTGTATATTAAATGTAATAATGATTATCACTGAGCTGCATATCCGCAGTCAAGCAAAAAAAGCTAAACATTGTTCCATTGTTTTCTCATGTTCAGTGTTGAAAAATATGAGAGCATTTTTGCAAATGTTAACACATTTACAGCTTCCAAAACAAATGTTCTCATTGTACTCCATGCTCACCAAGGTATTGTTCCAAAAATGAGACTGGTTTAAAAAAAATGGATTACTTTGAAAGTTCCAAAATGCCTGTTATTTTGTGCAGACTGTTAAAATACTACGGTGCAATTCAGAGAACCAGCGATAAGAACGTAAGAATTACTAGACGAAAGAAGACCAAGGTCCATCCAGTTCGCCTTCCACCATCCTGGTAGTCTCATACACATGCCATAACCCAAACTATATAATGTATCCTGAGATATTATTTCCTAAATTCATAGCTAAAATAACAAGTACTTCTAATGTTAAACTGCATAACTAAAACAGCCTGGCCTTTGAGTGGACCCTTAGGTATTGGGCACCTTGAATTAATAGGTCTGGGATAACACTCCTATAGACTGCTGGACTTGTGATGTATTATTTGAGTTACTACCCATTGGATAAGAAATTAAACCAAGGGCTGCCTGCCTATTCAGATGGCTTTAAAGACCCACAGCACTACTTGAACAGAGAAGGGAATTTTCCCGTTGTTCTGGCCAACAATCCCCCCATTGCCCAAGTCAAATGAGTTGCTCTCCTTGTGGTTGTTTGTGCAACATTGTTGTGCACAAATTGGCTGCTTACAAAATGCACACTAACTACATCTTACAGTAAATCCTATGAAGGGCTTTGAGATACTTTGACAACATGATAATGCACTAAATCAAATGCAAAAACATATAATTATTATGCCCGTGAAGAGCTTTGAGATGTTCTCCCAAAGTGAAAGATGCTATATCAAATTCAAGGATTATTATTAATAATAACTGAGCAGAGCTATTGCAGATCAGATAAATCCATATGCAAGATAGAGACTTTGTGGATCACATTGAGAACTGAAAGGCTTCACCATCTTTGTTTTAAGACCTTTATTATCTTAAAATCCCAGATTGTAGAGAGGTTCGAAAGACTTGTTTAAATCAAATTTAATCCCTGAAATTGGTTTCCTGCAATTCTTAAGAAAAAGAAGTAAGACCTGAAATGTAATCTTGTTTTAGCAAGTCAGGCTACTTTGTCTTAAAATTCAAAGCTGATAAATTAATTTTTAATTTAAAAGTCACAATTCGGAAGCTGAATTAAGGTTCTTAAGAACCATGGAAAAAAACAGCTTCTAAAAATAGATACTGAGTTGAAGAATTTTCTACAATTCTGCAGGATCTTACATTGTAAGATAAAATAACCTTCAGGCTCTGGCTATGAGAGGGCTGGGGCTCTGAGTAGCATGAACAGAGGAATAGTTTTAATTAAAACATGATATTGGTGAAAGGCATTTATCAGAGCTTTATTGGGAACATCTCAGTGTGGGAATGCAATATAATAAGAGCTGCAACAATCAACACTTCATATTTAAGATGGCACCTGCCCAGCAGATCTAGCATTATGAAGTTGAAAAGTCCTTGTTATTACCAGGCAGTGCACAGCACGCTATCTAAACTGAAGTGTATTAAAATCACCTGTCCATCTTACACCAGCCTAACATATCCTTGTTGCTACTCCTTCAGGCCCCAGCTCTCTTCATCCTGAATAAGTCTCCCTTTTTTTCAGCTTCTTTACATCTGTTGTAAGTGAACTTTAAAGTAAAGCCTTGAACCATGTGAATGAAGCTCACTGAATTCTCTAATTTCTTCTCCTTGATCAACACATTTCTCTCATGCTTCGATAACAACCAGCTTCTATTATTCGGTATTTTTATTCTATGCACAGAAATTTTCTATGAAAGGAAGATTTTCACAGAAAAATCCCAGCGTATTTTTATATCGCTCATCTCCTATTAAGTTATTATTTTCAGTTCTGAATAGCGATTGATGAAAAGGTTACATTTTGTATTTTCTTCTCCTAGTTTCTTCAGAGAACAGCGAGAGCATGAACTTCTCATCAATTCGCTTTGTCTTAACAAACTGACAGCTGCCATCTTGAATCCGTGGTAAGTATAGCTCAAAGAAGGACAACTGGTGTAGAATAGTTTTAGATTCTTATTAACTGTACTCAACCTCACTTGAAATAAAATGTTTACTTTCCAGATCTCACGTTTACTTTTGTAGTATTTTCTAGCGGACATGTACCACAGCTTATTCTACGTCCCTCATGATACCTGCCCCTCTTTGGAATTCCATTTCCATGTCTCTCTGACTTGCTCCCTCCCCTCTTTCAAGGTACATCTCAAAACGTACCTGGTTGACCATGGTTTCAGCCACTTTTCCCCCTCCTCATCGCCCTCAGCTCCCATCCTCACCTCTGGTGCATAGCCAGAATTGTCAAGCGCTTTGTGATGTCCTCCTGACCTGAAAGGTGCTATATTGTATTCTCTCATGTGGTTCTTCCCAGTTCCCTTCATCTGGCTTCAAGGTAGATTTAAAGGTGGCATTATTTAAAGATAGATGAAAAGGGGGCAAGGTGATGGAGTAGAGACAGGGAGCTTCAGAGTTTAGGAGCGTAATGACTGAAGTCTTAGCTACTGATGGTGGTGCGGAGGGAGCTGTGCAACACACAGCAAGCCAGAGTTAGCCTAGCAGAAGGAAAATATTAAATAGATAGAAAGGTACCAGTGTGTGAAGGAATTTATAAGTGAGGGTGATTTATAGGTGAGACCTTGAAATCAATCCGTTGGGAGCGAGAGAGCCAGTGGAGCCTGGCACGGGAGGCCAGCAAAAACATTTTCCATATTTCATTAGGCTATGTATTTATGTCCACGCAATTCTCTACTCATCATCATGCTGCCTGATGGCCCACAGGACAAGTGGGTGGCCTCCTCCCCTGTAACATCTTTCTGGCTGGATATAGTTCAGATCAGCAGAGCAGGGACTAATCTGGAGCCCTCAGCTGCACTCACAATCCCAGAATATTTAATAGAAACGTGTGGGGCTATACGTCCATCATGGGCCAAGATTTGTTCTAATTTTGTCTATAACATTTCAAAGAGTCCCAGAATTTGGCAAATTGTTGAATAGAGTCATAACTCTGAAGCTGGTTTTCTGTGCAGCAGATTCTTAAAAGAAACTTACAGAAAACTGGCTTGAAAATGAAGATGGTATTTTGCCAAAATAAGAATTTTGCCAAATTCTGGAAGCTCTGAAATGCTGCATAGCACATACCTAGAGCCAGATGAACTTTCTACGCAATAGTTTAGATAACAACAACCACTTGGATTTATATAGTGCCCTTCACGCAGCATCTCGGAGCTCTTATGCAAAGTATCCGACATCTCAGGTATCTTACATATTAATGGATTCTGGGTAACCATTCAACCCCAATGTCTACTTTGGGAAAAATGAGGTATGTGATGTGATAACACATTGTGCAATTACTTAGCCTCTTCTAAAATCCACCCACCTCTAGCCAGCACCTGCTCCCATTGACTTTGTCGAGGAAGAAGAGGGTATGTGGTCGAGAGTTTGATAACCTGAAACCCAGCAAACTTTTCTCCATTTCGCAAACTGCTCTAAATAAAATTTCACCAGTGGTAGTACCCCGATAAGAGGAAAGAGGAAAACAGCCGGCTGCAATTCAGATGATTGGTCTTTTAATGTTCTTTGGAATGTCCTCAAAATGTGAAAGGCGCTCTATAATGGTAAATTATACTGTGTGCAAATATGGTTTTGATTTTTGTAGGAAGAAGAACGGGGGGATGGAGAAAGAGTGGAATTTCTGTATTATGGGTATAGAAAACTAAGATTTGAACGGCCTCCTTTTTTATTCATACAGTGATGTCAGTCCATCTCAGACTGAACTGGTAGTCAGAGCCCCGAACAGGTTTCATTCTTTGGCCACCAGACCAGAAGCAGCTCCATTTGCTCTGAATCAAGCCCAGGAGTCTGCAACTACATCCATTCCCTTTAATTCCCTACCAACTCTTCGAGACTTTCTTAAAACATTCACTGCACCAGCTGAGATAGACTACAGTTTATAATAATAATAATTCTTGCATTTGATATAATAATACTTGCATTTGATATAATAGTAATAAAAATTCTTGCATTTGATATAGCGCCTTATATCTTCTAGACGTCTCAAAGCGCTTCACAGAATATACTGCAAA